TAGCTATGAGAGTGAATACAACACGTCTGAAAAGAATGAGAATCCATCTAAATCAGTTTGAAGTGAGCGTGTCATGGACAATAGCTTTTCATGCAATCAGAAAACTAATTTCTTTCACGCCGCTGAGAATCTTCCGGACCGATTTTTCGTTTGTTCCTGACGTTATACGTGGAAATAGTAAATTCTTGTATCAGGAAGGGGGGGGGGAGGCAATGGCGGCATGCCAGATCATTAAAAGTGGAGCACCCAAACGTGAGAGCCACTGTTCTAGAGAACCTGGGGAATCCGATGGTGTGAGGAAAAGATAATGTTAGCGGGCAAACACGACAACATCGATAGTTTGAAGCTGATACTGCCTTGGCATTTGTTAAATCATTTGTAGAATCAATCGAATTGATCATCAAATGTTAGTGGATTTTATTACCATTATTAGTAAACGAGATGATAAGATTTGAATGAATCATAGAAAATGATTCGAAACGATAACATATCTGCAAGCTACATATCTCAAAACAGCGACGTAAAGCACCTGATATTGCTAACGCTTTCTACGTATTAATCAACGCACATAGAATGTATCAATATGAACGGCTCAGCTATGTAATACGGTTTCAGTAAATCCTCATTGTTGCTTGGAGGAAACAAAATCACCCGGCAACACATATACTTTTTTGAAATGAGAGAGTCTGGAGAATCCAATGGTGGAAAGAAAAAGACTTGTTGTCATGCAAATTTGTGAGTATCGCTGGATTGAAAATACTGATCCAAAAAATTGCAAATTCCTTCTGTATTGTAAGTTGATCAATGCAGATACAGATACAGCATCCACAAGCAAATCAACCTACGGAACAATCTTCTATGTCCAAGAAAAATTGCTTATATCCAATGATTTGGCAGAAGCATTTCCTGAATACAGAACTGAAGGTATGACCATATCGATACCAACTGTACGTTCAAATTCAATGACAACCCCACATGGAACCGTCAGAGGAGATAGAGGAGGAACGACGAAAGGGGTGAAAGGCTGTTGTTTTGTTGAATATTCCAAAAACTTCTTCAATTCGAACTTGTTAATGAGCGAACATAATTGTAGTACCATTCGTGACTAATGCTGATAGAATCCACAAACACGATAAGGCAGCATGAAGAGCAATAAGAAATATTTCGTGAATTAATTTGATCAGACTGTCACCGAAACACATCAGAAGAAACTGATTGTGAGTGAGGTATAGTGATGTGAAAGTAAAAGCTTTACATTCCAACTCGAATGAGTACATAGTGCTGTTCGGAATGGAGCCTCAGCCGGGAATCACGCGAAGAGGGGCACGTGACGATTTCTGATGAATGTCCTCAGCGCATGCGGAGGAATCTTCTGTCGCAATCGTTGTTTGTGCCTCGGGGAGAGTACTTTGTTGGAGCATTCTTTCGAACTAGACTGCTTCAAGCCGCAGGTCGCATTCAGTTTTTTTTCGTTGGAACAGTACCTGAGGTGACCGGAAATCTGACGATCGTATAATCACGACCATTGGCCTCGATAGTCAGTGAAATTGATGTGCGGTAGAATGTGAACTGGAATGGCCCATTATGGAGGATGCAGACTCAGAACTGACTTTGAATTGTTATTATTATTATTGGAACAACATTTGTTTTGCCCTTTCCTCATTATTGCTACTATATTTTAAACAGTGACTTGTAATCAGTGATGTCCAAATTTGAAGAAATTGACTCAGCTCTGGCTGCACAGTTTTGAACCTTTAACTCCAGCTCCAGCTTAATCTTTTTGGGTAATCCGATACCTCAGGCTCCAACTCAAGCTCTGCATTCTCCGAACTTTCGGCTACGGCTCCGTCTTCAGCGCCGAAATTTGTTTTGCTTCGCTCCGTCTCCGGAACAAATTTATCACGCAAGTCAAATTTTATAATAAATAACAAATTTTATGATAAATAAATTAGTTGCGTTAGGAAAATGAAGTAACCATTATTTTTCTTATGTGCATTTTACGGAGACTGTGGGTGCAAGGAATTCTTTTGATAACGGGAACATCTGCGAGCAGTTGCCCCCTTTCCTTGATGATTCATTTGCGATTGATTCAAATTCTGAACACTAGTACGTGCGCCAACTGCCTAGCTGAATAACTTGCGATGCTAAAGCACACACCATCTTCAACAACTTATAACTCTGTACGTTGATAACCTCATTTGTTCTTATTGTTAGTGATATTATCATTCGGATTTATTCGCACTGTTAGCACAAACATTATCGAATGTAGAACAGTGCTAGTTGTTCATTATTACTGTTACTGTGGAAAATAATATAGCCGATTTATCATCTAACTGACTTGTTTGAATGTTAACCTTAAAATGAGCTAACGCAAAAACGTGATAATTGTTCACATTAACAGATGTTTTAAATGCCTCTTTGTATTACTCACGTTTAAAACGCTTACAAAAGTCAGTGTAATCGTGTATGGTTTTCATCCATTGAAAAATGATTCTGACGCAATTTCTCATGCTTTTAAAAATCCTTAGGTATTCAAGTCCTCACCAATAAAATTCACCTTAAAATTCCAGATTATTCCGTTAAAATTCGAGTTTGCGTAATCGCAATGCTAAAAACGATCAGTGCTGACGCGTATTGCCCTCTCTCTGTCTTCATGCTGCGTTGGTACACGCCTATTTGTCCGTTTCATAGAACACCGAAAAAAGTATTGCATCATTATGATGGCAGAATATATAACCATCCGTTATGATATAGAACTGTTTTTGACGTATGCGTTTATTAATTCTTATTATTGTTACGTTCATTTCACATTTGATAATCGTTTTCAATAAGTGATTCGTAGCGCGCATGCTTTACGTGATCGTCAAAAAGCAGTTCTGATCAGCATTTTCAGCTGTGAGCACAAACCGAGTGGTTGCACGTCAGCGATGGATATCCGCGAAACTTGGAAAGGTGTACCAGCATTCGTTGCAGAGGTTGAAAGTGCTACAAAGTAATCGATTAATGCATCAGAATATTGTTCAGTACAAAACACTAACACTTCTATCCAAAATTACCATGTTTCAAAATTCTTCCATTGAATTGGCGGCCCTTAAAATGAAGGACCCTTATTCTGTTTCATTGAGTTTCCTCTCCTATGATCAATTTAACGGTCACTTTAATTGCTTATCGCAATGAAAAAATTCATGCCTTTTTCCAGACTACCCGTAGAGGGAGAAAAAAATATTCTTATAACTTCTGCATTACCGTACGTCAACAACGTGCCTCATCTAGGCAATATTATCGGTTGTGTGCTTAGCGCGGATACATTTTCCAGGTATCTTAGACCTTCCTTAAAATTTTTGATTTTATGTCGTTACTACTTTTTAACTTCATGTGTAAAGGTGTTGTAATTTCATGAAAAATTGGTCATTGAATTCAATATTAGCAGTTCGAATAACCTCAGAAATAATTGTTGTATTAATATTGGTGTTAATGATCAAAATAATAACAATACTAATAGTGATCATAATAATAATCAGAAATCAGAAGTCAGTTTGAATTGTCAGATTTTGCGAATTGAAAGGCTGGCGTCACTTGTTCATTTGCGGAACAGATGAATATGGCACAGCAACTGAAATGAAAGCACTTCAAGAAGGTTTAACTCCAAAGCAAATCTGCGATAAGTATTTCGAAATCCATAAATCCATTTATGAATGGTTCAACATTAAATTCGATCGTTTCGGACGCACAACGAATCCTCATCAAATCGAGTGAGTGAGATTCTTTTTGGTGTTAATGATCAGTGAGATTCTTGTTGGGTTTACTTTTACGGAGTGTTCTTTCTGAACATTGTTGTAGATGAATTCGTGCAGATAAATTACTCATTTTTATAGGCTTACACAAGACATCTTCATGAAACTCTATGCAAATGGCTTCATTTCAAGTGGCAGTGTTGATCAGTTGCATTGTGACGAATGCGATCGGTAAATGTGTTTATTTGTTTTTTCACCTCAGTCATTAATGTAGCCAATGATGTTATATCGTTTACTGGTTGATTCACTTCTCATTTCATGGTGTAATGAACGTTTACTCAATTTATAGTGGCTTTCAGCAAAGTGCGGTCAAGTTTGTAGATGATTTCTAGATTAATGTGTCGGTTCAAAAGCTAACTGTGCAGGTGTTTTACGCTGAAATCAACCTGTGTGTTTTTACCTCGTGAACCGACTATAACTAGAAACAGTCGTAACTTCAGAGCGTTCAAGATCCACCAATCAATTGTCAGAATGATAACGATACTGATAAGATGCAATTAATTCAGCTATCTTGCTGATCGTTACGTACATGGCGAGTGTCCGTATTGTCATTACGAGGATGCACGCGGTGATCAATGCGATGCATGTAGTAAATTAATCAATGCTGTTGAGCTGATTAAACCGCGTTGTTATATTTGCGATCAAACTCCAACAATTAAGCGATCAACACATCTTTTCATTCAGCTCGATGAATTGTCGGTAAGTTCATTTTTAGTCGTTTTATTTTTATGTATGTACCATTTTTTCGGTATGTATTAATTCGATTCTTCAGTTAATAATCAGTTTTCAATTCTAGAAAGCCGTTGATGAGCATATAAATAATCAGTTGAAAGAGTCCGCATGTCATTGGTCATCGAACGCAGAGTCAATAGCGAAAAGCTGGATCAAACTGGGTCTTGAAAAACGTTGCATTAGTCGTGATTTGAAATGGGGCGTACCTGTACCACTAGAAGAATTTAAAGATAAGGTACTCTGTTAGCGATTTTTATTAATTTTGTCATCGACTGTTATTATTATTCTTGTTATTGGGAATGTTTTCACTATTGTTACCAATGGTCACAACATAGGTATTTTACGTTTGGTTCGATGCACCAGTCGGATACATGTCGATCACAAAGGAGCTTCTAGGTGATGCGTGGACTTCATGGTGGAAGAATCCCAAAAATGTGGAACTATACAATTTTGTTGGCAAAGTTCGTCATTACCTTTTAATTGTTATAATTACTTCATTAAACATAAATATTATTATTTTGAACTTGTTCAGTTTATGAATTATGAATGAGTATTCTAAGGAAATATCAGTGGATAAATGCGTATGGTTAACAGTTATAATCTTCAGGATAATGTCGCATTTCACGCCTTTATGTTTCCAGCCTCACAACTCGGAGCACGTGATGGTTATACCGTTGTGAATCATCTTTGTGCCACAGAATATTTGAATTATGAGGGCACCAAGTTCAGCAAGTAGTGTATTTGTTCATTTTTGTTGCGATTGTTGTTATCGTTACTTCATAGCACATGTGATTTTTAATGTGTAGATCAGTTGCTAATGGTAAAGGATGTTATGGAAGGAATTTACAGTTGTGCGTTCAAATAGATGTGATAGCATATTTTGTTAGCATTCAAAAAAATAACACTCAGATCACGAGGAGTGGGAGTTTTCGGTGATATGGCCCGTGACACTGGCATTGAAGCAGATATTTGGCGTTTCTATTTGCTTTATCTACGACCCGAAACTCAAGACACCTCGTTTGCTTGGGATGATTTCGCGTTAAAGGTCAGTTATCAGGACACGTTCACTTTTATTGGCCGTTTGTTATTGTTCAAACTCTCATTGGAATTTTCATATGCATCCATCGTGCTAGAACTGTGTGCGTTCATTCGAACGAGTAAAGATGAGATTCATTTCAGGTCAATTCAGAATTGCTGGGCAACTTGGGTAACTTCGTGAATCGAGCGTTGTCTTTTGTTGCGTCCTCATTCAATGGTGTCATACCTGAAATGGAGTTGGAAGAAGCCGAACTTGAACTGCTCGAAGAAGTGGCAAAGCATTTAGCAGATTACGATACACTCTTAAGTCATATTAAACTTCGCGATGGCATCTCAAAAATATTGCAAATATCACGACGTGGCAATCAGTATATTCAAGCGATGCAGCCTTGGGTGTTGGTGAAGGGAGATGCGCAACAAAAGTTTGTTTCATGTTTGAGTGAACGAATTATACGTTGATCAGTTTGTTTGTTTTCTTAAAAGATCATTCCTCGTTAATCATACTGTTCGCTTATTGATTCGTGAATCAGGAAGCGTGCTGGTACAGTGATGGGTGTTGCGGCGAATATTTCGTATTTGTTGTCGATCTTATTGTATCCGTATATGCCGCAAACCAGTGATCGTATTCGTCAGCAGTGTGCTCTACCCGATTTACCAATGTTAACACTCGATCCAATTTCATACCTCAAAATTGGTCATCGAATCGGCAAGGTTAGCTTCGCGATGGTTGATAATAGTGGATCGTTTCGTTATTTTATCGTATATTATCCGAAAGACGATTCGAGCCATTTGTGTCTTTCGAAAAGATTCATTTGGTTTAGTTTTAGTGATCGCTAATGAGATGGGCAGTGAATTTTTTGTGTCCATCCATTAAAAATTCTTTTTTTGCACTTCAATTTCTTGTTCGTCTCTGATCGTTCTCATCGTTCATTCTACTTGTTTTGGTCCTTTACATCTAAGGTGGTTTTACGAATATGGATGGATTCGTAACCAAGAGCAAAAGTTGTGCAATGATTAGAACGGAACACAAATTTATTTCATTTCTGACGGATTGAGAATATGTTTTAGCCTGAGCCATTATTTGCTAAAATGGAAAAGTCATTAGTGGAGGAATTTAAACGCAAATTTGGTGGTGGTGGCACCGAAAGTGATACGAAAAGATCAGCGCATAAGGAAAATAATGAGAAGAAGAAAAAGAAGTCGACGAAGGTCATTGAAAAGGACTCAAATATTGCTAATATAAAAGTTAACGCGAAGATGAGTGCAAAATATCCAGGCCAGTTTCATTTCTCAAAATGATCTTATCTATGTCACATCTTAATAATATAAGAATATGTCAGTTGAGTATAATCACTTCAGTTCCCGCAATATTAGATTGTATTCAGTCGTCATCCCAACAGAACGTTTTTTTTATTCGTTTAAAAATCTTTTAGACGAGTAGTGCATCTGATGAAAACGATGCCTTAATTATAAAGATAATTTGTTTTTTATGCTGTTCTATTCATTCGTTGGTTGTTTATTTCATTGAATCAACCATTAAAAAAAACATTTATTATTACCACAGAATCATCAACAATTCATTCTACTCATAAACTTCTTCCATTTTCTTCATTTTCACACTTTCCATTTCCGTTATTTTGTTTTAAATTGAACGATAAATTTCGTAGATAGACGATTGCAAGAGTTTGTTGATGGATGCATAATGCTTCGTTGAATATATTTGGTATTTAGCCATTTAGTTGAATATTTAGCAATTAAGAACTGAAACTAACTTGGCAATTTTTATGCTAATCGTATTTTTTGATATACTTCATTGCTTAGGTTGACATTCCTTACTCAATAGTTTCATTTTCACTTTGTATTGCCAATGCTGTAGTTGATGACGTAGTTTAAAAGCTGTTACTTTGTTATAAGCTAGCTATTGCAATGATGTAGAATTATTAATCTTCAGGTAGTGGTATTTTACATGTTTGTAAATTAATCGTTTTATGAACATTTTACGTTAAGTTTTATCATGTTTCTGGTATTTCGATCATATCGTAATGATCGTATGAAACTATTAGTTAAGAAGTGTTCTGCTTTCGATATATATAACCAATGAACCAAATCTCCACACGACAATATTTATTGCTCGTAAAATTTCGTTTTGAACAATATTAATATGTCGTCACTAATTCGTTACGATATCCCATGAATTGATTGATTGCTTGATTGATTACTCGGATCAGATGTTGACTTTATCGATCGGTTAAATAAATGATCGCTGGAGCTTTCAAAAGTTTTTTTACCAATGTTCTGATGTTTCATCGTTTTCTTTTTTTCAGACAAAATGGCTCCGCTGTTAAACGGTGGTAATAAATTGTTGATGAATCAGCAGACAATCGAAAAGCTTCTCAAAGTGGCCACGTCGAAATTCACTCAAAAAAGTTTGTGCTGCTTTTCGATTTCGTTTTTGATCGCGAAACGATGAAGTATAATGATTTAAACTATTTCGTAACTTCGAATGGACTCAAAATTCGAAACTCTCTGTGGAGCTTACTTATTTCACTTCCATTTCCATGCTTACAATTATGATACCACAAAATGAAATTCGTTATATATATAGTCGTCCAGTATTTGCATAGTCTTCATCATTTTTACCATTTGTTGCATAAAATCGAATTTGTTGATACCGTTAAAAGTTTCGTCGAATTTGCATTCGTTAGTATCGTTCGTCGTGTTCGTTTCAGAGGATTTATTTACGAAAACAAAATTGCTCGAAATGAGTGAGGAAACGGCAAGGCTTAAAAATGAAGTGCGTCAATATACAGCAACATTGAGCGAACTGGAGAAATTGGGTGGCATCAAACAGTACAGTATTCCAACACCAATAGCAGATGGTTTAGTTTTGAATTACTTTTGGATAATCAACCCTGTTTTTTCCTCTTCCGTAAAGAATTGATTTTGTTAATTGGAATGAATGTAAACTTCAAGACAAACAGTCGAATGTATTATAGGTGATTGGTTTTCCATTTTTTCGAATTTCCATTTTGGGCGGTTTTATTCGTTGAGTATCAATCAGTTCTTGTTGATTGTTCAGTATAGGTTTAACTACCCCAAGTTGCTTTAAAAAAATCCAGTCGATCATTTAGATAAGAATGCGGTCAATCATTCAACAACTGCGAAGCTTGTTGCAAATGATGATCAACAGTCCGAGAAAGCTGTAACGACAAAGAAATCAAAGAAAGCTGCTGGAACTAAGAAGGAGAATACTGGTTCTGCAAAAAGTAATATTGTGTTTAATTTACCTACTCGCATATTTCTAACTTTTTCGAAAGTGTTTCACTGAAAAGTTTTTCCTATGAGATGACAGCAACAATTGTTTTGCAAATGCTCTCTCGTATCGTATCAAGAGACAACCGTTCAATTTCCAACTATTCCTTACTGAAATTAATTCTTTTGAGGAACCGTTTTCTTGTTAGTATATACACGCGTAAGTTTAGTATATGTAGTTTCATTGTTGACGCAAATAAATTTAAATGATGGGAAAAATCCATTGAAGTGAAGGAAGATCGTTTGGGGTGCTGTGTTTGCAGTTAAATTTGAGCGGTGTTCTTGTTGTTGTGGTTGTGGTTGTTAGCTTCAAGCAGTGTTGCTGAGGTCGTTCCAATGCACAAATTAATTAAGTTGTGCTATTGATCGGATTGTGCTCGAAACAGTTCTTTGGTTTTCTTTTACAGGTGCAAAGAGTGGTGATGATTCAGTGGATATCGGTCGTTTGGATCTGCGTGTTGGGCGTATTCTGGAAGCATCAAGGCACCCGGATGCAGACGCACTCTATGTTGAGAAGGTCGACCTTGGTGAAGCACAACCACGTACTGTCGTTTCAGGACTGGTTCGTCATGTACCATTGGAAGCGGTAAGTTTTTTGCTTTGTTTTTACATAAGTTGAACAGATGATAATTCGATTGATCGTTAGGCTAGTCGAAGACATTGTATTTGGCATTTATTTATTGAAATGCGCGCATATGCTAAGATGGTAGATGACGGCTGGTTGGTTGATCACAATAATTTGATTGAGTTATAGATGCAAAATCGTTTGGTGATGTGTTTGTGCAATTTGAAACCAGTGAAAATGCGTGGTGTAGAATCAAGTGCGATGGTTATGTGTGCATCTACGCCAGAAAAGGTTGAAATTCTTGATGTGGATCCATCTTCTCAGCCCGGGCAGACGGTCACTTGTCCACCGTTCGAGAGTCGTCCAGATGCGTTGCTGAATCCGAAAAAGAAAGTTTGGGAGACAGTAGCAGTTGATTTGACAGTAGCGACAAATGGACAAGCCTCCTACAAGGGTCATCCACTTCTGGTTAACGGCAAAACACCGGTGACAGCCGCAACTCTGAGAAATGTTCCAGTGAAATAGTTACTTGATTGTTGCATCACCAGATCAAATCTTCTATTATTTATTCATTAGAAAGTGTTGTTAATTTCTAACTCTGAGCTATATCGTTCGTTTTGGTTGAGAGCAGTGGGAAGCTAACTGTTATTACGATAATATTGATTGTATGCATCTTCTGTGTTGTTTTTTTTGTTTGTTTATTGTTTGAATTTCATGACCAGAAATCGTTTTTTCTTCAAACTCAACTCTCAATCTTTCCAACGATATATTTCTACCATTGAGTAATCGATTATTCAGTCATTTTAAAGTGCTG